TCAATTATTCATTCTCTGCAATTATGCTCGCACAAAGAACATTTTGCTGGTCTGAATGATGATTAAATTAACAGCTATTCCAGCTGCCTGATAACATCTAATAGAATATTCATAAGCCCAAAATGGAATGAATTATCTCCATTAACTTCATCATGCTCACTTAATTACATGCTTGTTATTGTATTTACACCTTGTTAGATACCGCTGAAGCTGATCCAGTGGCTGGCCGGGAATTGGAAGCGTCTGTCATGGGGCAGTTGGAGCGCGTTTTGTAGGAAATGCTATTTATTTTAAATGCTCCACCTGCTGGGAGCCGAGGTTAGTCAGCAGCACTGAGATGAATTGGGAAACGGGGTGTAAAAAGAAATAATGTGCTTCTGACAGGCTCCGTGGCTTTTAAGTTGCTCTCATTCAGCCACTTCACAAAAAATTATTTTATTCCATCTCTCAGTGATGATGACATGATTGCTTTTGGGTAATCATTTACCATTCTGATTTTATTTTTTGAAGTAAATTGTCTGAAGTAATAGGTTCTTGGAATTACAGCGTGCCTTGCTTTTTTCTTAGAACTTTATTTAAGCTTGTCTTCCAGCATTTAACCCGAGTCCCCTCTTTCGTTTGATCTTCTAACTTTATTTATACAACAGTGCTTAATGATCCTGCACAATGTGGGGTTTTTTTTCTCCCCTCTCTACCACCACCACCACCCCCAAAAAAAATTCTGTCCAGTATGGTTGACAGTACTTTTTATAACCTCAGCAAGGAGGCTGCATGGGCAATTTTCTTCCGACATGACAAATACAAACACCCAAAACCCAACCCTGATAGAATCACTTCATCCAGTTGAAAGGAAATTTTTTATCTCTTTCAAGGTGACTCTGTCTCCACTGAAACATGGTAAGGGGCGCAACTCTTCACCTTCCATTTTTCACCGTGGATGTGGCGTTCATTGTACTGTCTCCCCCTTCTCCCCCATCGCCCTCTGCTCTTGGCCCAACTTCGGGGGCCAGCCCTTCCTCGGAGTGGGGCCCCTACCTCAACTCCATTTGCTTATCGCATGCAGGGTCACTGTTCACCCCACTGAGGCTGCCGTAAGCCTGTGTTTACTGAACATGAAACCAGCCCAATGGTGGCAAGATTTATAATCACACTTCTAAATACTTGTCAGATCAGCCTAGTAGAGCACTTGAGTTAAACCATGGAGATTTTATTCTGCTCGGAGGCTGTATTTTGGTATCAACAAAAAAGAAGAGAAAAAGAAAGCGGAAGATAATTATTTTTAAGTAGGCCTGGATCTGGCTAGTGGACAAACAGAGAGAGACTTGAGGCCCTTGGGAACTTGTGGCCATCAGAGGCAGGCTTTTCTGGGCGGCACAGGGTCACCGAGCCTTGCGAGCATTGCGTGGTTAGTTGCTAGATGGCACAGCCAACCCGTGTGCCTGGCACTGTGCCGGGGGAAGGTTTTGCCTGGAGGATAATGGAATGGAAGAGGACCTGTTTCCTTTCTTCTGGGGAGTGTGCCGTGTGTATGTCCACGCCATTGGAGTCGGGGTGCCACTTGCAGGCACGGTGCCAAGCCCGAGTCAAGGTTATTGATTGATACTCTGGAGAAAGAGGACCCACTGCTCCCTTCTGGGGTCCATGGTTCTTCATTGAAGAGAGGCCCCATTTTCTTGTGACACCCGGAAGCTTCCTGCCTCCCTCCCATTAGGGCAAAGCTCGAGGTGCATTGAGGGAGGGCGGCTACGGATTAGACAAGGTGGGAGAGCTGAGAGCTGTGTGGTGGGAAGCCATGCAATTAAAAAACTGACTGAAATTATTACCTGATTTCATAATTGACAGAATATTTAATTCAGATATAGTAAATTGACACACCTCTACACAGAGACAATTATGACTGACTATATAACACCTGACAGAATCAATTATAACTGACTGTTGTTTGATACCTTTGCACGGAAATAAATGAAACAGACATTCTGAACAGAGACGGCTGCCGCCTGTGTGCCGAAGCCTGCCTTCCTGAAAAGGAAATAACCAGGAGGTGAGGTTCAAATGCCTTTGCCTCCCAGTTTCTAGTTCAGTGTCTTTGCTTTAGGTCCAAAAGGGGTTGGGTAGAGAGTGAAATTGCAACGAGATTCCTGCTTTCTCCAAGAGGAAATCAGATGAAATATGTAGAGAGTTCTCCCGCATGAGCGAATGCTCAACTTTCTCCCCTCTTTGCCCTGACGTTTTCTTCCGTCCTTTGACTTCTCACGCGACGTGTGTGCGACAACTTCAGCCTACAGTGATGCGCCGAGTTCCACCTTGAAAATATACTGTGGCCCGGTGAGCTCGAAGATTCGACCCCTTTGAAACCAAACTGGGAGATGAGTGGCTTACCTTGTCATCTGCTACAGCCATTTGTAAATAATCAATACCGAGGTTCATGCACCCTCCATCCCCATTTTCATTGGGGTTCAGGGCAGAATAGTTTGGGCAATTATCATATATACTCGTGTATAAGCCGACTTTTTTGAGCACATTTTTAATGCAGTTTTTGTGGTAAAATTAGGTGCTTCAGCCAATATTCGGATCAGCTATACTCACGCATATACGGTACTTTTTAACCACAAAGAGCAGAGTAAATAAGCTTTAGCCATACGAAGGGACTTGGAAAGTTTGTGGAAAAATCCCATTTGCTTTTCATGCCATTATCCCACGTACTTTTGGAAGCGCCCCCCCTCCCCATGTATGTTCTTCAGATGTTTCCCCAGGGAAAAGTCGTTTCTCTTTGGGGGTGTTTTCAGATGGGTGGCTTGTGGTCAGTGCCTCAGTCCATTCGACCCGATGCTGCTGGTGCTCTGTGTGGAGAACGAGTTTCCAGGGTGAATAGTCCCAAGTCTTTTGTCCTCCTGGCAGCATCTCTGTGAGCAGGGGTGGGGTGGGGTGGGGTGGGGGTGGGAAGGGCTGCAGCACATCCCCTGAAGTAGTACTCCCTAGAATGCCTGCTCGGCAGCCCCTGCCAGAGCAAAGGAAGGAAATGGCCCCATGAACTGGTTTCCACCATTGAAGGACGTGGATTTTGCTTGGAGTTTTCAAAAGTGGTGGGTGTAGTATTGACAGAAGCAGGGTAATGGTACTAATGGGGGCGGGGGTGACTACTCCCCCCTTGGCCCCCACCCCCTGACGTGACCTGTGACAGCTGGCCCAGTGCTGCTTCCTAGAAGACCTTCCATATGTTATTGATTCTGTTCTCATTGGGGGGAAGCCAGTGTGTGCTTTTACCCGCCTCTCCGCCTTGCGCGCAATGGTGCCCGGGCCGTATTGACCGGCTATGGGATATGCTGGTGGTCACAGTTGTCTTTTTCAGAGAAGAGCACCGAGTGACGCTGCTTGTCATTCTGACTCTGCTGTGTGGCAGCGTAAATAGTCCCCTTTCTAACCAACCTGGTGGGAAAAGTCAATATCCCATCAGCAGAGGAGGTAAACACGTCAGGAGCTGTGTCCTCTCCCTTCCTCCCCTGCTCGCTCCTCCCGCCGCCCCTTCAATGCACTCTGGGCAGTCATCCGCTTCATTTGTGGTGTTCACTGGCCTGGGGTTGTGGCCTGCGGCTTCAGCCTGCCACAAGGAGCCACACTGGTTGGGCCACTGTTGTCTACTCCCAGCCTTCTGACATTTACAACTTTGAAATTGACTTTTCTCTAGTCAGTTAACCTCACACACTTCCCTCTCGCCTCCCATTTCCCAGCCCCTTTGGGCATTTCAATCCTCTCCACAAAACTTTGTTGTGTTCGAAAGATGGTGGAGAACAAATGTGAATGTGTAACCAAGGAACAAAAACCTTGAAACAGAGTATTCATTTTCCAGGTGTTTGGCTGTGGGCTGCAGTGTGGTTCTCTGGCTTCAGAGTGTGGGTGGGTGGGGGGCAGGGGGAGGGGGAGTTACCTCCTCCCTGTGCTGTCTCCAAGTGTTCCCTTCCACTTCCTTCCCCACTCCACCCCCAAGCGCCCTTGGCTGTCTGGCCCTTGTCTCAGGCCAGCAGATTTCCTTTCCGGGGGCCCTCCCTCTGGTCTCCCTGCTGTGTCTGTGGGCAGGGCAGGGAGGGGGGCCTGGGGCCCAGGTTCCCTGGGTTGGTGTTTCTGGGCCTCTGATTCCCAGCTGTGTGGCCACACTGCCTGAGCCTCCAAGCTTCCTCTGCCATAAAGTGGGTGGGAGGCTCCAAACCTGCCCCACAGGGTCCCCCAGCAGCTGTGAACAAAGACTGTGTCACCAGAACCATCCTGGGGCAGGGTCACTTACCCAAGGAAACCACCTTCTTCTCCAAGAGGTGGGCCTACTGCTTGTCACCACCCCCTGTCCCTTAGAAAGAGAGAGAGACAGAGAGAGAAAAGAAAAGAAAGTTGATCTAGGGAGACTAGAGCCTGGGAACTGCACACCCCAAAGTTCATGGGTACACAGTGTGAACCAAGAAGCGCAAAGCGATCTGGCCGGTTGGCAGGGGCTCTTGCGACAGCTCACCCCTCTCTGCCTTCAGCAAAGGCAGTTTGGTGTTGCAGCGATGAGAAGCAAACAGAAGGGACTGGAGAGAAGCTGGCTAGGTGCTGTTCATTCAGGTGGGGCACCCATGACCAGGTTGGGCCCTGCCACTGTCACACCCTGTGAAATTGCATGCACTTGCTTGGACGCGTGACAAAAGTGATGTCTGTGAGGGGAGCTCACCTTGGCGGCTGCACATGGGTGTGCACCTGCAGATAGCGTCAGTCAAGGCGGCCCACCCCAGGGAGCTGAGTCAGCAAGGTGCTGCGAAAGGAAGAAAGGCAAAAGAGGGGCCTCTCTCAAGGACTCTGTGGCCACCCCCGGCCCCCGCCCTGGGAGAGGCCCAGGACACTGGGCCACCTGAGGGCCAGAGCTACGAAGAGCATCCAGGACCCCTTCTCTGAGGCTAGAGAAACACTTCATTGCCTTTCAAATTTCTTCTTCGACTTGTAATCTTTTTCCTTTTTTTCTTTCTCTTCAGAGAAATTGAAGATTTTAACCCCCAGAGTTAAAGAGGACTACAAAAAACTCAAGAACACAGCAGAGCAGTTTTTATCCCAAAGTGGCTACTCCGAAGTGAACCTCAGCAAGCTCTTTGCTAATTGTACCTTGAAGATCTAAGGGAATCCCAGAAGCCAATGGGGCAAGGGGCCAGTAGTGGCTGGGTCCCTACTTCCTCTGCACCTCTACTTCCTCTGTACCTCGGCTGTGTCTCACATGGGTGTGGATGTGACCTGGGGACAGGGAATGACCAAAGGAAGGTTGCAAAGATATTTAATGTACCAAGAGCCAGCGAAAATAAAAATAGCCTTCATATTTATAATGTACCACTTTTAAGCCCAACTCCGTAGCCCTTGCCAAATCACCAGGAGATCCAGTTTCTTCGTGTTATGGGCTGGGTTTCTAGGAGAGGCAGGAAGGGAGTGACAAGACGTAGCTCTAGAGTATTTAGTAGAGAGAGTTCCAGAAAGAAGTGAGTGGAGCTTGGCCGGGGGCTGTGAACACTTTGCCTTTTCACACACCAGTTGAACCCAATGTAAGCCCACATGTCTCCCCCAGCCACTTGCTCTTGTCTAAGTGGAGGGCAAGATGGAGAGGCTTTGTACTTACTAAACAAAGCTACTTGTTCATTGTATTGCTCCAAAGTCCACCTCATGTACACACACTCATGCACATTCTTTGAACAGGTGTTTTATACGCACATTCCCACCCCCACCCCCCTTCTTAAGTAGAAACTTGAGGTAAAGGTTTATATAATAGGAAAACAACATTTAAAATAAGTCAATGTCCTTAACTATTCATTTGAATCAGACAGAGGTGAAGGTGAGGTTCGCTGTGTCTGGGATGGGGTGTACAGAACACGGGGGGAGAGGGGGGCTGAGTTGGCCCTGGTGCTACTTTTCATATTCCTGAAGAATGGCGTGCTCTTCACTAGACGCACACTGTGTTTCGAGGTAACATCCTTTTTTTTTCCACATCATTGGTAAGATTATACTAACAAGATATATTTCCTCTTGTACAACTGTATTTTTTAACTCTCTACCTGTGTGTTCTTAACAAAAATGATGCTGTGCTCTTCGCTGAGGAATAAAGTTGTTTGCAGGGAAATGAGTTGCAGTGACTCATTCTCAGGTACAAAGAGTTGACCAGAGGTGACAGCAAGGAGTACTGTCTAGAGCAGCGGTTCTCAACCTGTGGGTCGCGACCCCTTTGGGGGTCGAGCGACCCTTTCACAGGGGTCACCTGATTCATCACAGTAGCAAAATGACAGTCATGAAGTAGCAACGGAGATAATTTTATGGTTGGGAGGAGTCACCACCACATGAGGAACTGTATGAAAGGGTCTTGGCATGAGGAAGGTTGAGAACCACTGAGCTAGGGAGAGGCCAGCCCTTGGCCAAACCTCAGCCCTGTTCTCTCATGGCCTCCCAAGTGAGCTCCTGCCTACCTCCGAGGTGCTTAGTGTGATTTATCACCTCATGCTTCCACTAGTAGTCTGGAGCATTCCTGCGGGCTTTGGGGCTTTTACCAGCTGGGCCATGGGTTCATTTGCCATGCTGACTTGGATAGCAGCAGAAGAGTGTGGGCCAAAAGCCCGGTGATGTCGCCTTTTGAAGAGCCAAGTGATGGCTCCTGGGAGAAAAGGCCACCAGAGAGAAAGGTCACTCAGCATTGACCCTGGTGGAGGGATATTTATTATTAAAGCAATGGAGGCGAAGCTGCCTATCATCTCGCTTGGCCTTCTCTTTCCCCCTCCCTCCCCCTCCCCCTTTCCTCCTTTCTCCTCTTTCTCACTCAGGCTCTATGTACAAAACACTTTGGGTCTAGGGCCCTGCCAATTATTTAACATTAACGCCTTGGACCTTCTGGTTCTGGGGCAGGTCAAAAGGTGAAGCACCCAAGTTGCTGATGGAACCCCTTGTGGTTTTAAATGGCTGTTGCCACATCAGGTTATGCATATGGTTCTCTAAAGTGTGTTCCTCCCCCACTTTTCTTTCCGAAAAGAAAACATGTTTTTCTTGATGTCTGGGATTATGCTCAATACAAATGGAATGATACCCTGGGTTTGGATATCAGGGGACTCAAAGAACTTCACCCAGAGCTCTTTCTTGTCTTTGCATCCGAACTGTAACCACCTTGAGGGCAGGAACCATGTCTATTGAAATCCAGTCAGGCATCTCTTTGTACAATCCCCCTAAAGAGCTAATGCAGCCGTTGGTATTTTCGGATGCAAATCTGTACCTCCAAGTGAGTGAAGAGGTTTAGTCTGGGAGGCCTGTAGGCTCCAGTCTTGGTCAGGAAGTTGACACTGCAGCTAAGAAGTGGACAGACCCAGTGGATCTCTGTTAGGCGGTAGAGACATCGCCTTGTGGGAAACGTTTCTACTCCTTGGTTCTGGTTGGTCCGCCACTGGCCCACTGAGTAGAAAAGGTGTGGAAAATGCTGCCTGATTTCTTTGCACGGAAGGAGCCCACCCCATGGGTCGCCACAGGCACCCAGGCCTGGCTCTCAAGCTCTAATGCTCACGGTAACTGGATGAAGCACGTCGGTCAGTGGCAGGGACTGTGGGGCCAGGCGGGTCCTGTCTATTCAGTGCTGCCCCGGGATGATCTGGGGTTTCAACAGAACCAGAAACCCCCTGAAGCTTCCCCATTTCGAAACCTTATTAGCAAGTAATTTTTCAAAAATATATGATTCTCAACGTGGTGTGAGCCAGTTGAAAACCTCTGGGCTAGACTTTCCCACAGCCAAGGAAACCGTTCTCTAAAAGAACCCGGCTCTTCTCCTAGCCCTGACCCTCAAAAGTGGAATGGGACCAACAGTCAGGGGAACAGTTACCTAGCTAGCAGCTCCCCTCGTCCGCTTGCTTCCCTAGCTTCCCAGAGGCTCAGGAAGGCCAGAAGATGAAAATCCGATCACAAGCAATGCTCCCTAAGATCGCATTCACAATTGCCGAAGACCTTGGGGGCTGATCAAAGTTTGGAGAAAGACATGGACAGGAATGACCTCCTGCTACCCCTCACACCTCCACCCCTGCTTACCCCTCTCCCAGCCAGCACCCCCACCCTGACTGACACACTTTGACAAACAGCAGATTTCAAATGTGTCTGGCAGAAGATACAAAGGTAAGGGAACTCCCCAAACAGATCGCCCGATCTGGGTCTGGCTATTCACAAAACCAAACCCAGCCTCGGATGGACGGAGGGACTGACCCTGGAATTGGAGGCTGTCTTTCTCTCCTCCCCTGCCCTCTCCTTGGCTTTCCCCCCCTCTCTCCCTCTCTTGGGCCACTCACCTAAATATTTCTTAATTGAACGGTTTGTGGTGGAGCTTCCTTATAGCAGTTTAATAGATTAACTCATCTGCGCCAGCCTCAAATTTCAGATTAAAATTCCTTCATCCCGAAGGCAGCATTATCAGGTTGTTGGAGGCTGTTTTCAAACCTTGGTTTTGAATAGCAGCAGCTCTGCATTAATTTAACCACTAAGCTAATAAGTAGGTTTCGTTTTGTTATGCTAAGCTTTATTGCTTTTCTTTTGATCAGAATGGTGTTGTTGAGCAAAGCAGCAGACAAGGCATTCTTTGATGAGGGAATTAGCGCTCCATTCTTCCCCTATTATTCATAGCGCAGTGGAATATGTAAGTACCTGAGGGTGTCAAAGGAGCCCAGGTTCTATTGCAAAGTGCTCGCCTTGTTACTCTCAATAGCTGACTATGAGATGATAAACCGCTTAATACACTGTGCTAATTGGATGAGAGCAAAAAGAGATGGGAATTAAGGCGAGGCGAAAGGAGAAAGTGCAGCCAGCCTTCAATTCACTCTTTCACCACTTTAACCGCACCAAAGGAGGCACAAGCTTTCTATAAGCAGACTAGAGGTTTTGTGCAGAGATAAAATGAACATGTTAGTGGATTCAAGTAATACACTAATTATTGCACAGTATAAATACCACTACTGGTTTTATAACAGGGAGGTAAACTTCTTTTGAGAGGGTTATAGGATTGCTTGGCAGTGGTGTAGAACCTAATAAGGGCCCGGAGTAATAACCCTGGATTAACAAAATTGCTGCTTGTAGAAGTATGATTCAGGCTTTTACGAAGATTTCCGGAGAATGAATAAAAAATGACTGACTGACATTTCTTAATGTATAACTAACTGGTAATCGTTCCCTTTTCTTTAAAGGAGGGGAAAAATTGTATACTTCAAACTGGACCATGAATAACATCCAGGGACAACACGACTTCCCCCCACCCTCCCCTTTTGAAAAATGCTGCCCCTCAATTTTCAGGTAGTAGGGCGGTTTGCTCCCCACCCCCAGCCAAGCTGCCACCGTCAGTGATAACTTTCTTGCTCAGGGAACTGTGTTCCGAAATTCTACTATCGTCCCTGTTTAAGACCCCTTCGTACAGACACACTTTTGTGTCTACGCATACACACGTGCTCCCATGTGCCGTTTTTTCTCAAAAAAGCAAGCAGGGCTGATCTAAGAATGTCTCCCTCCCTTTCCTCAGCCATCAGCCCCGCTTCCTCAAGATAGACAGGATTGCTGCACTCAAGGCAGAAACAAAAAAGAGAGTTCCGTGTGCCCTGCTGCGCTCTGTATTAGAAATCCAAAACCACACGAAGCAAATGTTTGCAGCATTGCAGAGGAGGGAATGATAAGCAATATGGGACCAGGCCACTGGCCAGGGCCAAAGCTGGGGACTTCTTGCATGTGGTGAAGTTTCCTGAGGTGCCCCACCCTGCTGCTCACCAGTCACTCCCTAGTCCCTCTACTTACCAGGCACCCAAGATGTTCCCAGAAAGTTGGTGACTGAACATTTGGGGTGTTTACTAATCATAGTAGGCCAAGTCCTCTCTCTCTTGCCTGTCCTCTTTATGGTGTGAATGTAGCACAGGAACCCACCCATTTCCCTCACTCTTCCTTCAGGCCCCCAGCAACTTGACCCCAAGATGCATTGGGGGGGCGGGGCGGGCTAGCTGGTGAGGGGCATTGGGCTCTGGGTGTGAGAAGGGCAAGCCGCCTGACCTGGGCTTTCCCAAACTTCCCTGGCACTGCACATGGCCTCCACTGTGGAAGAAGTTTGCTTAAGTTTTTTTTTTTGGGGGGGGGTGTCAGCCTCTCTCAGCATTATGATGGTGTTCCCAGATATTGGGGCCAAATTGGGTTGCCATTCATTAATAATGCTTACAATAAGATTAAATCATTCTGGAAAATCTCATAAAATCCCCCTAACTACGCTCCAGTGGCTCTTTCCAATCCCCATCATTCAGCCCTTGGGGAGGTTTGGAAGGAGAAGAAAATTGGTTTCTTTGCTTTTAATGCTGCTTTGAAAAGATACTCAGAGTTTGTCATGCGTGACATGTCACATGTTTAATGTGGACTTGCTGGAAGTCAGGGGGTCTTTAGCGTGTGATATTTATGGGGAATATTAAGTGCAGAATGAGGTCCCTCCAGCTGGGAAATGTTGAAAGAATAGGAGGCCCAGGCCTGGGCTTGTTTGCGGCATCAGAATGACATAGGATTAAGAGTTTGTAAAACAAGGCGAGGGGTTCTCATTGGCCAGTAATAAATGTAATCCTTGGAGGTAATTTCACGCAATTTGCTTCTGCTCCATGGAAGGGTCAAATGAGAAAAAATGACTTAAAAAAGAGTTCATTAACAGGAAGAATGGTACTGTTTCTCCTATACCATCCAACTCGCAGCCTGGAGAAAAAAGCCCGACCTAAACAAAAAGCCAACATCACGGAAAATTGATATTGACCACCAAAAGGGGGGGGGGCAGACCTTCCCCTCACACACCTCCTGCACCTGCCTGTCCCCTCCCCAAACTTCTGAGCCAGCGTCCCTGACCACGCTGAAAAACCAAAAAAACGGCCTTTGCCCAGAAGCTCCCTGGAACCCAGAGACTGGAGATGCTGGGTCCCCCAGGCTTGGTCTAGGAAGGAGAGGTTCCCAGCAAGCCTGCTAACCCCAGAGGAGTGTGGCATGGGATGGGCCTAGAAAGGGGCTTGTCAGCTTAGTCCCTGCATCCCAGGCCAGGCCTTGCCAGTCCAGGGTCCAGCCCAGGGTGGTGGTGACCCACCGGAGGGCCACACTCCCACCAGCCAGGTCCGAAGGCACCCTGAAGGGGTGCAACTCACGGGCAGGGGAACTGCTGCCCTTGCGTCCTCTCTCCTGGCCCCGAAGCGCCCGCTTCCCACTCACCCCCGCGGCGCCCGACTGGCCAGTGGCTTGGCAGGCCGGCTGTCACCGCTAGGCCCAGGCAACAGTCACACTGCTCCCTCCCCGCCCCCGCTTGCCCCGCTCCCCAAAGGTCCGGAGCGCTAATTACTGCAAATTGAAACTAATTACGCTTCTCTTCCCTTTCCCATCACCCTGGGAGCGTTGGCCAGATCCCGCCCCCGCGGGCGGGCGTCGTCGGAGCGTTCACCCAAAGGGTGCGCCCAGGGGCACCGACTGTGGATCGCTTTGGGGTTCCGTGCGAAACCTGACTTGTTTGGATTTTTTTTTAAATGTATACGCTTCCCAACGCCTGGATAAGTGATGTAATGACATTTGTCGAGTTAAGATCTGCCACTTGGATGCCCCTTGCTGCCTTTCCTTCACTGTTCCCTCTCCCTCTTCTCTCCCTCCCGCCCTCCCTCCCTACCTCCTCCCCACCAGTGAACCAGGGAGCCCGCCCCCTCCCCTCGGTAGCTAGTGCCCCGGCTCCGGGCTCTCGCTCTTACCTGTCACCTCGGACTGCGCTCCGCCTGGTTACGTGGCACGGTCCCCAGCTTCCGAGCCCAGACTCCCCCGTTCGATTCAAATCACTGACGCCGCCAGCTACCCCACCTACCCGCCTTCCCTCCCACCCACCCACCCACCTTCCGCAGCCCGGGACCCCCAGCGCCCGTGGAATCGAACGGTGCTTGGAAGAGAGCGACATCCGGAACCTTCCGGGGAAGTCGAGGGAACCCTTTTGAGAATCTGTCCAGGTGCTCACACCCCAGGGACCCTGGCCTCCCGCCGCCACCGCCGCGTCTCCCTCAGCGCCTGCATGGAGCATTCACACTGCCTTTTGTTAAACATATAATTTTTTTTGTTTTATTTTGAGCGTGACACTTCTCCACTAGATAGCAAGGAAAAGTGATAACAAGTACACATTACACAAAAGTACTGTACCATTGCCTTGATCTGGAAGGTTTCAGAAGCCTCTACAGTTAATAAGTTAAATAAAGGGCTTGAGTACATAAATATTCGTCTAGGAACCTACCGTATCTACAACACAGTAAGAATCTACAGGAGGACAAACTTTTACCATACCACGCTGAGTGCAATTGCCGTTATAACATTTCAAATATACAAAGCTCTGTTCTCTTTTTTTTAATAACAATGGTATGTACAGAATCAATAATCACAGTTTGGTGACTTCAACAGTCCATATTCTAGCAGTGTATTTCCCTTTGGTTTGATATAAAAACCTTGGTTGGTGTATGATAAAGAAGAGCACAGGAACAAGACGCTCTTTCCTTTCAAAGAGTGCACTGTTCGCTATTTTACAGGCTCCCGGTGGCTTCCCTGGCCCAGGCTGCTGCGCGCCGGGGCCCCGCGCTGGGGAGATCAACCAGAGCGCCCAAATAGGTATTTTAAGAAAATCCAATCCAATCCAATCCAATCCAAAAAGCTAAGAGGGGAGGGGGCGCCAGAGGAAGAGAGAGGTTGGGCTTTGACTTTAATTTTATTTTTTCAACTTCAATTGAAGGCGTCTAGGAGAGAAAAATCCGCCCCCTCCCACGCCCCCCATCTTTTGGGTCAAGTGAGAGCGAGAGGGAGTGGGTGTCCGAGTTGGAGCGAGGTGGGCAGGGGCAGGGGCGGGTGGGCAGCCAGCGAGGCGATGCTACGTCCCTGTCCCTCCCGTAGCGCTGAGCCAGGGCTGCCCCGGCCCGCCTGCTTCCAGGCTGCGGCAGCGCGCGCGCTCGCTCTCGGGGCCTTCTCGGGGTGGGTGGGGCGGGAGGGGGGTGCTGGTCCTCTGTTTCCATTTGGTCTTGAGTGGTGCTGAGTGAGGTGACCTTTCGGGGCGCGCCCGGGGCGCGCGGCGGAGGGCTGCCTTTAGCACACCTCCTTGCCCGTGCTGGTGCCCGGCAGGATGTTGAGCTGCGTGAGCTGCGCCGCGTGCTCCTTGGCCTTGAGCCGCAGCGCGGCTATGCTGGAGGCGCGTCTGTCCGCGGCCGCGGTGGCCGGGTCGGCCAGCGCGCCCGACGCCACCGCGCCTTCCACGGCCGGCGTGGGCTGTCTCAGGAGCGCGGCCGCGGTCGACGCGCTGGTCAGGGGGGCCATGGTGGAAAAGAGCCTGCGGGAAGAGCACACCGACACGGCGGGGTCACCGCCCCGAGCGAGCGCCCAGGGGCGCGGCAGCCGCCGGGCTGGAGCGCACGGGCAGGGCTCTGCCGGGTCAGGGAAGTGCAGGGGCCGGGGACCCTGGCTGTCACTAGCGCGGGCTCTGGGGTTTAGGTCAAAAAAGGGGTGACTGCCAAGGCCCGGGGCGCTAACCGCCTGCCTTGCTGTTGGCCAGGCGACAAGGTGGAGAGACAAGTGAAAGAAGGAGGTGGTGGGGGGTGGAAAGGAGGGAGAGAGTGGGGTCCCCGCAGCCCCTGACACGAAGGGTGCCTTGGCTAGCCCTTCTGGGCACCTCCTGGCCCCTTCCAGCCACAATGAAGGAGTGGGGGCGGACCACCCCAAGTCCAGGTATGATGACACCCCTGCTCCACCCTGCCTTCACCCAGAGCGCCCCCAGCCGCCCCCGCCCCTCAGGTTGCCCTAGCCCTGGCCCCGCCTTTGGCATGGCTGCGCGGGTGGGCGGAGCAAGGACCCAGACACCCTGGGCCACCCACCCCCTACCCCTGAGAGCCCGCCAGGCTGCCCTCTCCCTCCCACCTAGCCTCCCAGAGCGAACCCTTGCTGCCAGCCTCCCCAGAGCCCCAGCCCTAAACTCCAGCTGCGAAAGGCGGCTTTTCCAATTCACTTATTGTCAGAAGGGGGAAAGCAGGGTGGGTGAGGGAAGCGCCTGCTCTTCCCTTCCCCTTCACTCTGCCGCCCCCCCCCAAAAAAAAAAACCCCAAAAAGCTGACTGAGGGAGAAGGGGTGGTACATTCCTTGGTTCCATTAGGTAAGCTGAGGCACTAACTACACTTGGATGCTCTCGCTGTTTATTTTAGTGATTTGTAACATGCAACTAATTTTACTTCGTTGGGTTTTTTTTAATTTTCTAGAAGACGATTTTTTGTTAAGTGGCTGCGCAGTTGGATGAATCTATTATTTCTTTGTTCTCCCCAAGAGAGATCATTGAAGCAGCATTCAGTTTTATTTTCACTGCACTTTCCAACTTAATACATCTCTCCTTTGTTTCTTTGTCGGTGTGATTATACAGACTTTATTTCATCATTCGATGTTCATTTAAAGAAAGGGGGTTATAATATAGGGTGAACGGTTTCTTTTATTTCGTTGTCTTGTTCCGCCGTGGAGGTGGGGGTTGCACATATGGGGATATGGTTGGCAGCAGGGTCACTTCAGTGACAAGGAAGAGAGAGTCAGGGGATGAAGAAAGAACCCCATGCACCCAGAGGGCCCTGGGGCTCCTGGGAGGACCAGGGCTCAGTCCCCCAGGCTGCCAGGCTTTGGGGCAAGAGCAAGGATTATTTGCAAAACTTGAAAAGTCAGCCCTGCTCTGTGCCTACAACCTGTACAGGGTTACAGGAATGCCACCTGTAGTGGGGGCTGTGCCTGCCACCCAGTGGGGCTCGGGCAGCTTTCCCTGGTCACTCTTTAGTTGTGGTTGCAGTTGTTGCTGCCCCTGCCCTCCCCTTTCCCACTCAGTCCCAAGTGAACCCATTCCCTTGAAGACCCACTTTTTCTTTTTTAAAAGCAAAGTTACTTAAGAGAGTATTTTCTTTGGCTCAGTGTCTGCAGTGGGGCCAAAGAGAAGATGGCTGTGGCCCCTGCCTGCCTTCCTGCTTCTGTGTGTTAATGAGACAGATGGACGGACGGACTGATGGGCAGACAGACAGACACTCCCGGTGGCCGCGGGTTACCTGCCAAACGCTGGGCTGATGAAGGCCGGGTGCCGGAACACAGCGGCTCCGAGGAAAGTGCTCAAGCCCAGCGGCGCCCCGCTGGGCGGCAGGCTGGCTGAGCCAGGGGGCGGAGG